AATTAAAAAATAAAAAACTCTAAAAAATTACAGATAAACAGCGCGCTGGCTGCGAAAGCTTGGATTCTTTTTTTGCTCGAAATTCGAGTGAAAAATTGCAAATAACCTAAACATTTTTCATAAATAGATTTTTTAATCGACTTTTTTATAATAACTGTACAACAACAGATAAAATTTTCGTTAACTAGAATTTATCTGAATAGGAATTTCCCTATATATATGATTACTTGTGAAAGCTGTAAAAGACTGAGTGTTCAAAGCTTTGATAGTCTTTGCATAGATTCTACTATTTTAAATAAAGCTTTAAAAGTGAGCTTTTTATTACGAAAGCTTTAGCCGTGAGGATGCTCAGTCACAATGTTTCAATATTTCCCTTAACATTTTTTTACAAACAGCTACAAGAAAATAAATAAATCGATTTTTTTTAGATAAAAAAATTTGCCCCTCTCTTTGAACAACTTCTACCCACAGTGAGTGCGTATGCTCACACATTGGTTGGCTACTGAGTTTTTAAAATTTTCGCATTTTTTCTTTTAAATCATAAAAATAAAAAACACATCACGCACACATCAAAAACACATTCAAAACAGCACAAACGGCATTTGACACATTCACATATGCCACATACTGTCAGTCCACATGTCCTTTGGCAAACAATGAGACATTTTCATATGCGGCGGCGCCTTTTCGCACAGCCGAGCACAGCTTAGCTGAATGAATTTTATTTTGTTTTTTTTTCCGATTTTTATTTTTTATTTTCGTTTTTTTTTTTTTTTTTTGGGCAGCAAAATAATTTTCAACACTCTACAAGCAGACTACAAAACAGGCAATAAAAAACAACAGCAGCAACAACATACAGTGGGTGCCATTGACTGGCTTGTATCGTTCAGCCTTGCCTTGGCACTGGCGTGAAGCGTTGAATTGCTTTTGTCAACGCATGTCTGTCAGCTCAAGAGTTGAAGAGTTGGAGGAGCAGCGTTGGCAGTCGGCAGCCGGCTTAAATTTTTGACATTTCGGTTGACACTTTTGTTTGCCCTGCAGGCAGCCAACAAGAGCGTACCCTCCCTAACTTCTTGCACTGCCACACACACACACGCAACGCCAAAGGCTTTGTCAGGCTGCGTGAGCTGGAGGTGCCAGGCAACGTTGATGTGTCTGAAATAGGCTGTTATTTGTTTGACTTGGCATGAAGACTGCTACATATATATATATGTGTGTATGTATGTGTGCGTGTGCGTGCCTTCATATGGTTGGCATTTGTATGTTTGCTTGTAGTTTGTTTGTTTGTTTGTTTGTCGGTTGTCTGTCGCATTGTTATAACGCTGTTGTCATGAATTTTTATTAAGGCACTATGTGTTGTTGGCGCTGCTTCTTCTTCAACTGTTGCTGCACATTATTTAATTCAAATTTTCCGCGAAAATTCACAGAAGGTCTTCATTTTATCCATCATTCGGGCTATTGTTCCTTCATTCATGTGTTGCGCCGCCCTTTGGTCGACCCCACCAAGGCACTTCAAGAAAGCTTTGTTGACAATCTTGTTGGCGATATGGCTAAGTGAGAGAGTGTGTATGGCAACGACAGTTGGCTAAGAAATCAGTTAACGTTTTATAAAAGAGAATAAATTATGTTTATAAATGAAATATCTATGCAAATTTGATACCCTTTATCATTCTCTTCGCCAAATTTGGTAGGCGCTTAAAAACCTTAATAGAAACAGCTGAAGTGTCTACAGACTAAACTACGAATAAATGTAGGCAACGTTTTTTTAAATTTCAGTCATAAGTAGTTAATCAAAACGTTGCCTACATCTAGGCTTGATATAGAAAAATTGCTTTTGATTTGACGAAATAATTTTTTTCGTAAAAGATGTATTTAAAAAAAAAATAAATTAATAAAAATGATTTTAATATGGTCTTAACATTTTATATCTTTTAACATTAAATTTTTATGTTTTCGATATTTTACTTTAACTCACTTGTTATTGACTTCGCATTACACACTTTAAGACTCCGTACAGTCAATAACGGAATGTGGACTCTCACAATGTGAACTTGTAACGATTTTCCAATTAATAAATTTTTAACCACACGACATAAAATGTCAACCACTTACTGCATAACCACATGAACTGTGCGTGCGCTCATTTATGGTGCGTCGTTAAAATTGTAATTTTAATAAAAAAAAAAAGTTTAATTTTCTATCGTAAATCTCTAGAAAACACCAAATGTCACGCAGAAGAACTTAAGGCGTCTTAAAGTGCGCGCGCTTAGCAGCTCATTTTTGCCACCGCAGGCAAGTGAAAGCATGAAAATTATTTGCTTTTGTCGGCAGTAAATACGTACAAGTATATATAGCAGCGTAGAAAAAATGTTAATGTTTAGGTAATTCTTTTTTTGCTGCAAAAATTTTATTTAAATTTAATTTTATGATTTACATATATTTAGTTTTAATTTATTCTATGTCATCTTGTATTTTATTTAATTTTGTAGTTTTTTTAATTTTGTAGTTTTTTATTATATTTAATTATATTTTTTTATTTTATTGTATTTTTTCTTTTGCTATTTTGTTTTATTCTGCCTGTTTTGATTAAAAAAACGACAAGTTCTAATACAAATAGACGCCTTGAAGAGGGTAAATTATTTTTTCTTGTAGCTTAGAGTTTTCTTACGCCAAGCAAGCAAAGCGTGAAGAAAAAGTGTAAAAAATATCGAAACTAAAAATTAGAGCTACTAAATTGGACTTGTCCATGTAAGGAGATAAAAAATTTATCGCTTTAAATACATAAAAAAAGATATACATGTATACATATTTACTTACATAGGTAACAGTAGTTGGGTTTTTTAAACAAACATATCTATGTATCTCGCCAATGCAGTAGTCATGCTTGATTTCGTGCACTCTCCTCCCTCTCCCCACACTTCTTTCGTGTCATGCCGTCGACTATGTCTGCTGGTTTTGTTTGATTTCGTCGTTGCCGCCTGATTGTGGCAGTTCATTTAGATTTTGGTATTTCTTCGCTATTTTATTTACATTTACTTTTTTCTTTATCTACTTGCAACTTCCTTTCTCCTCCGCATTTGGTCTAGTACGTTTTCTTGTTCGAATTCTGTTTCTATCACTTGCATGCGACGTGTATTTACTTTATCATGTCAACAAACTAATTTCAAATACAACAATCGTTATGCCAACAATCAAGCAGACGGATGAACGTAGACACGACAGAGAGACAAACCACCAGCAGTGCCGCTGCAGTGCAGTCAGGTGTTCATACGTGTATGTATGTGTGTGTGTGTGTGGCGTAAACCACTTGAGTCTTGCTCTATATTTTTCCACAAAATAACTATTATTTACCGCCTCATTCAGCGCATAAGCACTTGGCTTCGTTTCACTTCATTTTTTCCTTCTGACCAACTGATAAGCACTATTTATCGTTGCCTTTGACACACGCCACTACATACATACACATGTTTCTTGTTGTTCGTACTGCTCTTATAATGTTTATACATATGTACAAAAAGCAATTCATCAAAAAATAATTCTTTGCGCACAATTTTCAGCCATCCAATGTGCTTTGGTGGACAGCTCAGTAATCGATATTTGGTGTTGGTTGAGGCGCACGGTTGTGGCGTCGCTTGAGGAAGTATTACTCAGCAAGCGGCAGTGCAAAGCGCTTCACTTCATTTTCATACTATTCATCTTTTTATTAGCCTCAATTTCTCTCTTTTCTTGGAAATTTAATTTTCTTTGAATTATCGCTGAGGACAATGGCTGATATCGATAATCTTTTGATCAATTTAATTTACTTTTTTCCTCTTTTCTCACTTTTCATTTTTTCACCGTCTTAGTAGGTGCTCAAACAAGGGTGTGTGCGCGGTCTTAAGAATAAAGCGCTGAGCACGTGGTGCGGCATAACCACAGATAAAGTGCGTTTAAAGGCTAAACTGCAATTAATTTCAGGCTTTATGATTGGTAAAAGTTTTTTTTTTTTTTTTTGTAAAATTCTTGAATTTTTTTCGATGAAGTTCCTTGATTATTATGTTATTGGAATTTTTAGTGTTTAAAATTTTATTCAAAGGAATTGCTTTAAAACGGAATTAGTTTTGGCTTAAGTTCTGAGGAAAACAAAAAATTTATATACGAATACATATAAGAACTGCAGTTTGTCGTTTACAAGTAAAAGTCTTAGGAAGGTAGTAAATCGTGTAAGAAGACATATGTCTCTATAGAAAAATTAAAAAAGTTTTTCCTTGACTATGGTTTTCTTTAAAACTCTTCTGATCAATTAAACTATCCAAACTTTGGATTTTTTAGTACTAAATTCTGAGATTTGCCTTGCTAGTTTTTAAAACGTTGCCTACATTGAGGCGTTGACATCGCAAATACCCGCCTTTAATTAGAAGATTTAAGAATATATATTGTTCATATGCTGGTTATACTGTGTTCATATCGTCTGACCGTTTCTCTTTAAATAATTACAAAAACAAACAGTTATTTATTCAATTGACTAGTAGTATGAACGTAATCAGCACAACATAGTCGAACGAAAAACGTTGCCTATATTTAGGCATTATTTAGCGAAAGCGCGTACCAAACTGGTGGAATAAATAAAATAATAAACGTTTTGCGGGATTTCATATATTAATTATAAATAAAAAAAAAATTATAAATTGAAAATTTTGCGTGCAGTGCACTTGGCAAAGCAACTCTCAATCGCACTACACTATAAACTAATTTCCGCGTTAGAGCAAATCAATGCAAGGGAAAGAAGAAAGTGTGAAGGACAAAAAAATCAAGCAAGAAGCGTGATAATGCAAAAATCGAAGTGTGAAACGATTCAAGTGCACGCACGTGCGTAGATTCATAAACAGCGCAGCAGCTAAAAAATCTGAAATGAAGAGATAAGCAAAAGAGAATGCAAAAAATAAAAAATAAATAACAAATAAGTAGTGCAAGTAATAAAAAAAGCCACAAAATGTCGAACGAGCAACGTGGCATATACGTGATACACTTTATACTGTTGCGTGTGTTCTTTCATGGCTTAGGGAAGCACGATAAACCGTAGCATAATAATAGGTGTAAAGGATTCTGGAAAATCACAGATATAAAATATGACGGATGTTACCTTTACATAGGACCTTTGCTGCCAGTAGCTATACAGCAAATAAAATTTAAGGTAATTATGAACAACCAATCAATACAAATTGCAGACTTTTAACCATTTATTTTAAAATTGCGGCAAGTGTCAGCTAAGAATCAAATTAGCGCCGAACTTAATTCATTAGTAAGCTTGAGAAATCTAACGCCCTCTTCTTCTAAATCTGTGATATGCCAAAAAATTATAAACGTGGCCTACATATAGGCGTTTTCTAGCAAAAATCCTCCAGAGTTCTCAGAAGGCTTTTGTTATAGGCCATAAACTTTCATGATTTTTTTTAATTTTTTTTTTTTTGTACTACAGTCAAACAACAATAGAAGGCTATTTATTTCGGAATAATCATCAACGCACATTTATACTATAATTTATTTGCTGCCAAAGGTTCTATTTAATCATAATTTATCGGCCAGTCCACCATTCATTTACAATCAGTGCTTTCTGCACACTTGTGCCCCTTGAGCTTCATGCCAGATGCCGAAATCTGTGCCAAAAATTTCCTAGTGCAACTTAATGGCTGTGGCAATAACAAGCGTTTCCGCAACTTCCGCCTTCTTAGTTTGGCCACGAACAGCTGCGCGCGAAACCACAAAGTATTTTATTTCTCTTTTATTTTTTTTTTATTATGAATTTTTCATTTTCTTCGAACGCATGCATATCTTCTAATTCTATTGCTTAGAATATTTACATTGTTGCATGCGTGCGTTTTTGTGGTTATGGTTGTGCGCAGCTTGTTGCGGTCTTTCTCATGTTGTTTTGTTTCCTTTTCTTCTTCTTCAGCATTTCATCAAAAATATTCACGTGAGGCAGCCATACGTCGATTGAATAGCTGCGAAAAATATTTGTTTATTGTGTGTGTGTGTGTGTGCATATATGTGGGGGTGTTGCAAGGGGGTAAGAGTTGGCAGCTGGGGCTAACGGGTTTTTATGTGCGTGCGCGTATTTCCGTATGCATTATGTGACGCTTTTGTTTACATTTGATTACACTTGTTGTTGCTGTTATGCTTTTTTTGTGTGGCAAATACGCGTGTGGCATAAAATTGATGAAGCTTACATGCGTCCGCCTTCGCAGATCCAGTTTTTTGTGCTACACTTTGTACACAGCTTCCGTTATATCTTTCCTACGCACCACACTCTCACTTCTTTTCTCCATCTTCTTCTTATTCTTTAATTTTTTTTTAGCGTTCATCAACCAATATTCCTGCTTAACAATTGCTTACTGTAACACTGTAAGCAATAAACACTTTGTTATTGTTGTTGTAGTTGTTGTTTACTTTTATTATTCCTTCCAACTTCACAAGCGCTGTTTACAGGCTGTCTCGGCTGAAGTATTCGTAGTTTGCGTTTATTTGATTTTTCCAGCGCTGCTGCGTCTACCCCTTCTGTTACTGTTTCTACAATATTTTTGTGTTAAACAACAGTGCGGTCGACAATGGCTCTCAGTATCCAACAAACTGATTGGAAAACACTTTCGCTTTTGTTTTGGCAATCCTCCACTCCACCTTCGTACCCCTCCCTTCCTTTGGTATGACTATCCTTCACCTTTGCACATATTCATCAAAATTTCCACTATTTAATATACAAAAACAACAATATTACCAACAATGAATGTTTGCTGAACTCTGCCGCACAGTTCACTGCCTTCCTTTTTACCAACTGCCCGTCACTCTTTCACCTTACCCGTACTGGCAGTTCATTTCATTTATTGAACTTTTCTCAATTTATTTGTATAGGCTCAATTATTGGTTGGTTTGGCCGTCTACAACCCCTTAGAACCACCAGACGTCCTCCGCACGTCCATTGAGGAAACCGCATCGGCTCTGCTACACTCATTTTACAAACAATTTTGATGTTTTGTACGTGTTGTTTGCTTGTTGGGCGAAAATCTAATTATTGTCGAGGTTAAATATTTGCACACAAAATACTACTTCATATACTAGCACACGCACATGCACGAAAGTATACTTCATTGTCTGCTGCCACACATTGTAGCTCAATTTATATTCTTCTTCTTCTTGGTACTGTTCCTGTTGTTGTTGTTGTTGTTGTTGTTGTTATTGCTGACGCTATTGTTTCGAATTTCTGCTATTCTTTCCAATTTTACTACTCGAATTGTTGTTCATGTTATTGTTGTTGTTACTTCAATCATCTAACACATGCTTACAATTCATTACAAGCAATCACCATTGGGGAGGTCGAGAACAACCGCACGCACACATACATGTACGCACATAGTACGCACGACACGGCTTCCTACATTTTCACGACCTGCAAATGGAATTTAATCTATGAAATGGTATTTCGCTCTAGATTTTCACTTCAATTGAATTAATTTCTCGGGCATGTGCAGTAACTACTGTGCGTGTGTATGTGTGCGCGCGTGTAAAATTGTGTTTTACATAAAATTTTACACAATTCTCAAATGACATTTTGATATAATAACAGACTTCAGCAATAATTAGCTTAACTGACAGGTTTTTATTAAATTTATTTTATTTTATTTTTTGTATCTTATAACGTTTTCCAAAGAAATTTCAATGTGAGAGACTACAAATTATAATGCATATATAGCTTATAAAATTAAATAAAAAGTAAAGTAAAAAGATATATAAACAAATAAAACAAGAAATATATAATAAAATAGAATAAAACAAAATGAAATAAAATAAAACAGATTAAAGTAAAATTAAAATAAAAATTGAAATTAAATAAAATTAACTAAAATAAAATAAAATAAAATAAAATAAAATAAAATAAAATAAAATAAAACAAAACAAAATAAAATAAAATAAAATAAAATAAAATAAAATAAAATCAAATAAAATAAAATAAAATAAAATAAAATAAAATAAAATAAAANATGAAATGAAATGAAATGAAATGAAATGAAATGAAATGAAATGAAATGAAATGAAATGAAATGAAATGAAATGAAATGAAATGAAATGAAATGAAATGAAATGAAATGAAATGAAATGAAATGAAATGAAATGAAATGAAATGAAATGAAATGAAATGAAATGAAATGAAATGAAATGAAATGAAATGAAATGAAATGAAATGAAATGAAATGAAATGAAATGAAATGAAATGAAATGAAATGAAATGAAATGAAATGAAATGAAATGAAATGAAATGAAATGAAATGAAATGAAATGAAATGAAATGAAATGAAATGAAATGAAATGAAATGAAATGAAATGAAATGAAATGAAATGAAATGAAATGAAATGAAATGAAATGAAATGAAATGAAATGAAATGAAATGAAATGAAATGAAATGAAATGAAATGAAATGAAATGAAATGAAATGAAATGAAATGAAATGAAATGAAATGAAATAAAATAAAATTTTATGTTATTTTATAAATGGAGTAATATGAAGTGCAATGAAATAAAATAAAATAAATAAACAAATAAACTTAAATAAATTAACTTAGTTGATTCGGTTAATAAATATAAATAATTTAAATTAAAATGAACTAAAAGAAAGTAAAATAAAATAAGATAAAATAGAATAAATTAAAATAAAATGAAATGTTTGACTTCAGAAGTGAAAAGTAAAAAAATAAATTAAAATAAAATAAAATTAATTTAAATTAAATAAAATTAAATTGAAAAATATGAAATGAAGTGAAGTCAAATAGAGTAATATGAAGTGAAATGAAATAAAATAAAATAAATAAACAAATAAAATAATAACAAATAAACTTAAATAAATAATTTTAGTTTATTTGGTTATAAATATAAAAAATATAAACAAAAATAATTAACAACGGAAATAAAGGTGAGAAAAGAATGTTTGTTAAAAATAAATTAAATTCAATAGCAAGAAAAAAATGTATTAAAGTCAAATATAAACTAGATTAATTAAAATAAAAGTAAAATACATCAATAAATCTAGTAAAGGAGTATAAACTAATTCCAACAGATTTACAATTTCCCTAAATTAAAAAAAAAATAGACAAATAGTGACAAATATTAAAGTCAATTAAATAGCAATAAAGCAACGCCATCATCAAATCTTGTGCAAAAAGCTTATTTAGCTTAACTGTAATGTATTTCATATGTAGAGTTTAAAAAAATAGTTATACACAATCATTTCTTGCCTGTGTTAATGTCTCTTGATCTCCAACCAGCTTATAAAATAAATTTGAAATTTAGTAAGTGAAGAAAAACTATCAACAATATATATACATATGCAAATAAATAAAAGTGAATAGTAAAGAAAATATTTAATTAAGTACTATTTTTGATTTTAATAAACTTATTTATGGCTTTTGGCCTCTTTAGCCGTTTTCGTAGCTTTCGAATATTAAATTTGACTACTCATACATACATATTTAAATCTCCTTAATATTAAAGTCCTCAAATATTTCAATTTAAATTACCTGCCTTGAAACTACATTTTGTTTTTATAGAAAATAATTTTATTATTTCTGAAGTCTTGAAAATAAATTTAAAGCCAAATTGAAGCACCAAAAATAAGTTTTAATAAAAAGGATTTGCGAAAGAAATTGCTAATTGAATTTGCAAAGCATTAGAAAACTTTGAACAGAAGTTGTAGTTGTAAAAAAAAACTATATTTGTTTGAGTATATATGAATGCATTTTACAATTTTCTCCACGCCGTAAAGCCTTTTTAAATCAATAATTTAATTAAATCTTTGAAAAGGTATACAAACGTACATACAAATGAACAAAGAGCAGCTGAAATAATCGAATTACTTCCAAAGTATTTATCACGAATGCAACAACAGCATGTAGAAAGCAGCAAAAGATTTTCAAACCTAAAATCCTAAAATATTTATTTTATTATTTGAATGCAAAATTTTAATAAAATCACTTACTTTAAATATTTATTTCAGCAAATTGCGAAATATTACCTTGTATTTATTAGACCAACTTTGTTGTAGTTGCACATTTTTGTGGAGGCAATTATATATGTAAATCCTATGAATATTTATGAATTTAATTGAAGAATCGTTCACAACAACTTAGGCTTGAAGCTCAACATCGATGCTGTCTTCTTCATTTAATCTATTTCAGGATAATTTGTTTAATTCATTTTTTCATAATATGCTCACAAAAAAGTCTGCTTGCGAAAAATTTCACTTTGAAAACCAATGAACTGCACAAATTAAAATCAAATAATATGCTTAATCGCCTGGAAATATGCACATGCAACACATTTGAAAGGTGCTGAATAAAATGAAATTCCCTAAAAACACAAAAAAAATTGCGCTTATAAAACTTTACATCAGACAAACATCAAAAAATACAGAGGAATTTTCTATGCGGTAAAAAATCGTAATAATTAATCACTGATTAAACTTTGTGAAAGCTGCAGGCGCCTCTAAAACGCCACTCAAGCGCCCGCCAGCACCCGCTGTGCAATATTATTAATTACTATTTGTTGCACAACAACAAAGCAGAGACGGTTAGTAAGAGAAATTGGCGAAAAACAAATAAATGAGGGAGTGCCTTGACTGCATTTTGGAAAAATTAAGAATTTTTACAAAGTTGAAAAATGGAAAATGAAAAGTAGAGAGATGCTGCTGTTTGAAAAACTAAAGTTTAATATTTTCAGAACGCCATTTAACACTTTTCACTTCTAATAATCATTTTTGTTTTTGTTTTTTTTTGCCCGTTGAGAAGTCGTCCTAACGCAGTTGCTTTGGAAGCTTCACAGCCAGCAGCAGCAATATGCTTGAGCGTATGTATGTATGCAACACACTTTTCACACTATTACACACAATTATATTAATCGTTATGCTGTTCGAAAATAAATTGATTACTTAAAAACTCTGAAAAATGTAAAATAAAATGTAATCTCCCATATACACACCAACATACATTCATACGCATGTACAAGTGAGTGAAAACTTTTTTCTAACCTAAAAACATTTACTTACGTTACAACAAACAGCTTAGTGCCATCAATTGAATTGAATTTGATGAAATGCCATCAACCGACAACCCACTGGCGCGGCAGCTCACACAAGCTTTGGCGCCTAAAAGCTGTTGGCGTTACGAATTTTCATGTGATTAATCAAAATAATTTATTAAATCTCTCTCTGTAAGTGTTTTGACGGCGTCTCAGTGTGTACTAAGAAGGAAAATTGTGATTTTTGGTTTTAGTATTTTTTCTTAAATTTTTTTTTTTTGTCTTTTCTTGCTGGTAAACATACATCAATCGTTATTTTGTGTTTATCGTTGATAATTGATTTTCATACAAAATGATATGCGCATCAAGTAAAATATTTACAAAATTGTGTTTCTGTTTGTATGTGCGTTTGTGGAGCGTGTACATGCTTGTAATACATCAAGAGCAGAGCAAATCGATCATTTGGCTACATTTCCGTCATAGACGATTTGATTTGTTAAACACACAAATCTGTTGTTTTTATCTAATTTCTGTGTAGTCACGTATGTATGTAAATACGTACATGCATACATACATCCATATGAAAATATCTGGAATGTGGTTTCATGTGTAAAGACATGTCGAGATTCTAGAGCAGATTTCACTTTTTTGATATGCTTTCTTTTCATACATTTCTGGAGATACTAATAAGGGAATAAAGTAAAATTTATTAAATGAAACTTAAATAAAGTTAAACAAAACAACATAAAATAAAGTTAAATTAAATTAAAACAATTTAAACCAACTTAATTAAATTAAAATAAGAATAAAACAAAGTAAACTCAATTAAATGATATTAAATAAAATGTATTAAAATTACAATATAATAAAAAGATAATATTAGTAAACTAACGTAAATTAATTGAAATAGAGTAACTAAAATTAAATATAAATCAAACAGAAGGAAAACTTAAATGAAAAAAAATAAATTAAAAAATTAAATCAAATACAATAAAATAAACGAAAACCAAATACAAAAATAATAAATAACAGAAAAAATTAAATGGCGCACAGTGAATCAAAATAAAATAAAATATTAGACCAAAATAAAGTAAAATAAAGAAAAAATAAATGAAATAAAAAAATTGAAATGATATATATATATGTATAACTAACGCTTTGTAACCGCTGAACCGAGCTGTCCGAGCTCCTTTTCCAATTTGTTTATTGATGTTCTTCCAACAAATGGAGGTACCTAAATTATATTCTAAGCCGCCTCCCAACGGCTAATGGTTTTTTGATGAGAAGCCTTTATTTTATAGCAAATACTCTCTGGGGTGTTGGCATTTCGTTCCGAGGAGCGAGCGTGATTATGAAATATAAATTTAATCAAATAGAAAAATTAAATCAAAGTGGAACAAATAAAGGAAAACAAACTAAAATATGTAAAAAAAAATATGAAAAATTAAAAAAAGGATGTAGAAAACAAAATTAAATTGTATAGAATTACTTTTAGCTAAATATAAAATCGTAACTAAATAAAATAACTAAAAAGGGATTTCGCTCAAATATATCACATATCCAGCTATATATCTTCTTATTTTTACGATTTTTT